ACTGATGAATCACAGACCTGTACCCCTGAAACAAATAATACATTATATGTTAATAAAAAATTTTTTTAAATAAAAATAAATTAAAAAAAAAAACTTTGTTTTATTGAATTCTTCCTAGACCTTGGCTTTCTTATATCAAGAGCAGGGCCAGGAGTCGGACTTTGAATCCTGATGCTGCCACTTAGAATTTGTCCAAGTCACTTCTCTCTAACCCTGTGTCCTCATCTGTCAAATGGAGCTGACAATAAAGTAGACCTACCCAGAAAAGCGGCTTTGAGCATTAAATGAAATGCTGTATGTTTAAGTGTTTAGTACAATGCCTGGGACATTGTTAGCTCCCTCAAAAATTTAGCTGTTACTTATTTTAAGAAAAAAATTCCCACGGGGTGCCTGGCTGGCTCAGTCGGTGGAACCGGCGACTCTTGATCTCGGGGTTGTAGTTTCCAACCCCACACTGGGTGTAGAGATTACTTAAAAATAAAATCTTAAAAAAAAAAAAATCCCGCCTTAAAATCGGGGAGCTGCACGAACTGGAACGGAAGATTACAGTTCCCAGGATGGCCATACGAGGGAAGTGGTGAGCAGCCTCAGGGCGGACTCTGGCTCTGCTGTGCTGAGGCACCTGCTGTGGACCCAGATGGCTGGGCTGGGATTTCCGGGGCTTCCCGGCCCCTGAACAGGTGGGCGCTGGCCGGGGGGCTGTGGGAGGAGCCTCCACGGTGTGCTCTGCCCTCTCACAGCCACTGCCGTCCCTCCTGCTTGCTCCCTTCACGGTTTGGGGGAGGGGCCGGCGGGCTAGAGGGGGCAGGAGTAGAAGACTGCTGGGATTCATCCTCTCCAGTTTGTCATATGTCTTTCAAACTTGAGTATGATCATTTCTTCTCTATAGAAGTTTTTATAGTCAAATTTATCAATGTTTTTCCTTTGGCTTCTAGGTTTCATCATGCCTAGGAAAGTCTTTTCCATCTCCAGGATTATTAAAACATTCACTCATGCTCTCTTCTGGGACATAAAATATATAAATATGCTAGTCACTTGGAATTTCTTTTGGTGTAAGGACACAGTTTTCTCTCATTTCCTCAAATGACTTGCCAGTTATTTCACCCATTTACCTGAAATGCCATCTTTATCATAAACCGAATTCCTTTGTGTGGTTGGATCCATTTCTCTTTTCCAATTTGTTCCACTGATTCGTGTAGTCCTGCTTCAATACCATGTTGTGCTAAATACATTGAGTCTCTGTTTTAATATCAGGTAAGGCAGAATCTCTTTCCATTCCTTTTTCTCTAGCTTTTTTTTTTTTAATTCTTGCATGTTTATTCTTCTACATGCCCTTAAGAATCAACCGTCCACCCAATCCTTTGTCCCTGGAGTCCCTGAAATTATATGCAAAGTGTACATTTGCACATTTGTCCAGAGAGAGGACCCAAGTTTTCACCAAATGTGCAAAGGGACCATGATTCCAAAGGGAGCCCCTGGTTTCCATGTCTCTATGATAGGGTGCATGGGAAGAGCACAAGGAAATCTTGATTCCTCCTGCCTCCCCCACATCCTCACAGGCTCTGCTCTCCCCATCCTTCACCTCCATTGTTCCAGCTACTTCCCTGCCCTCCATGTTGTCCCTCTAATCTAATCCCCCTTGTTGTTCCAGAGCAATCATTCTATGACACAGGCCTAGTTCTAGGCCTGATGCAGATTAGATGATAACAAAAGTTTAATTAACAGTTGAATAAAATTGAGTCCTGGCTTCACCTCTGGCCAGCTGTGGGAACTTGCTTCAGGCTCTCCACATTTTAGGGTCTCATAAAGTCTTTTTCTTCACAACAAGAACTTGGGCAAGTCTTTTCTCCTCTCTCGGAGTCAATTTTTCCACCTGTATATTGAATATGAGTTTGTAAGTCATTTTCCCTATCTCCCACCATCTGATTTTCTTGGATCTGCTCCAGGATGGAGTAGGGGTACCATGGTGTCAGTGATGTCCTTCGAGGTGCCCCAAAGAGGAGGAAGGATGAAAAAGTACAGATAGACATGGTGGTGGAGGGGGGAGCACACATGAGGCAGAAGTGTCCTAGGGACGTGGAGAGGCTTGAGGCGTCCTCTAGACCCCAACCTTTCGAGGTCCTGTTAGCCTGGGTTGCCTGCAACCAAGCAAACCCAGACTCTCCCCATTCCCCTAGGTCCGCCCACCACCAAAGGCCCTGCCCCCAGTGGCCCCGCCCCTCCAGTGACCCCACCCGCCTGACCGAGGCCCCGCCCCCATGAGGCCCCGCCTCTCTCTTCGCCTCCCGCCGGCCCGGGCTTGGGCTTTGCACCCGGCGGCGGCTGAGAACCGTGGCTGCTGCGGAGCCGGCAGCGCAGGCGGGCGGAGTGGAGCTGCCCGGCCCGGTGGCGGGCGATGCCCCCGTGAGCCTCTTTCGCCGCCCCTCCCCGCCCCGCGCCCCTACCCCCTCGGAGTCCGCCGCCCGCCTGGGACCGGGCCGCGCCCACCGCCGGGTCCGCGGGGCGGGGTCCAGGGGCAGCACCTGCCCCGCCTTGTGGAGCCGCCTCGCCCAGCGGAGACCCCTCCCTATCTGGACCCTGGCCCCACCGCCGGGTAAGTCAGTAGGCCTTGCTCGCCTGGGAGTGGACGTGGGGAGGAGGCTGCGGAGATCTGGGGGACCACCGCGGGGGGGAGAGGGTTCCGGCCGTGAGGCGCCACGTAGGGATGTGAGTGTGCAGGGTGGGGGGGGGAGGGCGGGGGCTCAGAGGATGAGCAGAGTGTATGTGATGGCTCAGGGGTGGGGGCTAAGGTATGAGAGGGGAACGTGGGGTGTTTGAGGAAGCCTGAAAAATGGGGTAGGGGACCCCAGAGTCTTGAGTTCTTTGCTGATTCTCAGAGCACCTGGGGCCCTGGTCTTCAACAGCATTGCCTCGCATGGCATTTTTAGAAAGTGCCTCAAATCTCTCCTGGAAAGGAAGCTGGAAGGCAGCCTGCTTTCTCCCTCCTGCCTGTGCCCTGGTTGAGAAGCAGGCACTCTTTCCTCCCAAGGAAACACCACTGTGGGGCCCAGAGGACCCCCCCCCCAGCCCATGAAAGAAAAGAGGTGGTACTCACTCCAGCCCTAGGGTAGGAAGAGGGGACTTTTGGGAAGCTGGGAAAGGCAATTGGTCAATCCACGGTGGGGAGTCCAGGGTTCAGGGAGGCTTGGCAGGACTCTTGGTGGGCAACCTGGACACCCTTTCATTCAAGGGGAGGGTAGCTTCACTGGCTGGCCTCCAGACTGCCTGGACCCATGCCCACATCACCTTCTCTGGACAACCCAGCCCAGAGGAGTGGGTTTCTTCCCAGTATCCTGGGCCTGGAAACCCAGGGAGGGCCCATAGCTCCTGTGGTCTTGAATGGAGTAGGTAATGCCATGTCTAAGGCCAGAGAACAAGGGGTGCTGGCTGGCACTGCCCCTTTGGGGCTGGGGAGCCCGGGTGAATGTCAGAGTCCACCCCTAGCCCCAAGGGTGTTGTCTGGGTTTGGAGAGGAAGGCTGATGCCCCTTTGGTCCTGTCCTCTGCCTATGATGCCTTTTAAGTCTACGGTCCTTGGGTTTGGGGCCTGAAGTGGCAGGGAGAGGGCCTTTCTGGGCTAGGCCTGGTCACCAAGGGGTTAACTAGCTAGCCCCCCACAGTTGCTGCCAGCCACCAATTAGTCTGTAATCAGGCAGCTGCCAACTGTCCCTGGGGACATGTGGGTAGCCTAATGGGACATTCTCTGGTTGGGGGTTTGTGTGTGGGGGGGTGGAATTAGGGAAGGGGTCCATGAAATCTGTGCTTAAACCAAGCACTGTGCCCTTGTGAACCTGTTTAGGGCCCATAGACCCCCTTCCTGCCCTAGGTGCCCAGGCTGCCTGGCTTAGGGAGCTCCAGCCCTGGGGTTCGACACCTACTCAACCCTCTGCAGGGAATGAAGCCCAGAGTCAGGCAAACTTGACTTCAAACCCGGGCTCTGCCACTTTCCGGCTGTGTGCTATTGAGGGAATCACTTCCCCTCTAGGAGCCTCCTTCAGTAAAATAGACCCACCTTCCAGTTCTGCTGGGAGGAGTGATTGAAATGGTGGATCTGAGCTGCTTCGCACAGTGCCTGGCACTGCTGAACTCACTAACAACCCCCCCCCGCCCCGTGCCAAGGACTTGACGGGACAGGCAGGCAGAAGCCAGGTGTTGAGGCGCAGCCAGGACCAGGTTTCCTTCCCTCGGGGCATGTGGTTGTGGGCCAGGCGCTGTCTCGTCTTAACTCTCATGTCTCCCTCCCTCCTTGCTCACAGACATTTCTGGTCTCGGACATTAATTGGATTTTCCTCTGCAGAGCCTGGGGCCAAGCTGCTACTTTCTGGGCTCCCCCTATCCCTAACCAGGTGCTAAGCTCTGTGGGGTCTCTCAGGGGTCTGCGTGATGTCTGCAGCCGCAACAGCAGCTGGCCCTTTAAGGAGGGAAGAAAACAATTATCTGGCCTGGGCATTGCATCAGCTGGAGCCTGGAGGGTCCCTGGGGAAGGTGGGGGGGGCAGGCTGGTGGTTGATTTCATTAGTGCCATGTGAGAACTCTCACCCGAGTCTGCCCGCTCCCCAGCTGCAGCCTCCTCCCCCAGGCAACGGCAGCCCCAGCCCCAAAGCTACCCCTACCCCACCCCAAGAGCTCTACTTTGGAGGACTCTGTGCACCCCCCAGCCCATGTCTGGGACCCTGGGCAGAGAGGGGTGGGGAAGTGTCTCTCGCACTGGCTTTTGCTGACTTGAGGTGCAGAGAATACCTCCTGTACCAGCATTTTGCTGACAGTGGGGGTGTCTCCCCTGTTAGTGTTTGGCTGACGGGAAGAGGAGGGGTGTATTTCTCCTACACTGGCATTTTGTTGACCCAGGGGAAGGGTGATTTCTACATGGGCCTCTCACTAACCCCGGAGCTGCCTTCAGCACTAGGGTTTTGCAGACCTGACAAGGAGCTGAGCTGCTTTGGGTGTGTGTGAACTGAAGGTACGGGTGAGAAACAGTTGCTCTCTGGCTGGAAGTGAGCTGGCTGGTAACAGTCACAGGGGCAGAGAGGACACCAGGTATTTGAGCATCGTATAGACCTGGGTTCAGATCCTGCATTCTCCACTGCCAGGCTCTGTTGGCCACTTCAGGCAACTGGTCTCAGACTCCTCTGGAAAATAGGAATAATTTACACTTATACTGCCCCACCCCCATCAGGAAGGTGCTTGGGGATTAGATGCAGTGACTGGATGTACAGCCCCCAGCCCGGGGCTGGCAGGTGGAGGGTGCGTACTATATGACGATTCTCTTCCCTGTGCAAGTTTGGGCTTCTCCCGCCTTGAGCTCAAAATACCTGAACAAGAAAAAGAGGATGAGCGGGGAGTGGAGAGAAGGGGAGAAGGTGTACAGGACCCTCCTGCCTCTGTTGCAGGGGGCTGGCTTCAGACAGCTGATGTACCAAGCTCTGTGAGTCACGCAGCGCTGCCTCCGTGGAGCCTGCATTCTAGCCCAGGATGGTCCAGGGCAGCTAATTACACTTGTGTCAGTGTGTTGAAAGGAAGGATTCAGGGAGCCTGGGGTGACAAGGAGTTGAGGAGGCAAAGAAGCAGGATTAGGGGAGGGAGCATTGTGTGCTCAGGCCTGGCTGTTGGTGGGAAGGGCCTGGTGTGGCGGGGGAGGGCAGCAGTGGAGGAAAGAGGGTAGAGTGTGCTGGTGGCGGAGGCCACACCTTCCTGGTCAGTAGGATACTAAAGGCTTAGGAGTTCTCCTGAGGCCAATGGCAGTCCGTAAAGGGCTTTAAGCCCAGAAGGCAGGGTTTCATTTCCAGAGCAGGGGCTAGAGGCTATGGCCCTCAGGCAGAGCCTTCTTAGGAGTGACCTTTTGCCCTTTCACACCCCCTTCCCTGGGTAGCCCGGGTGCCCAGGGAGCTGGTTGTTTATGTGGCCCGCCCCAGGAGGGAGGGGGCCGGTCCCAGTCCCTCCAGCTCCCTCTCTCTGGGCCTTGTTGACAAAGTTCACCCCTTGGGGCCAGGTTCCCCTTTACCTCCCCAGGGAGCCAGAGGGCAGGAGGCAGGGCTTTGGCACCAGTCCTATGTTCACATCCCAGCTCTGCGGTTCACGAGCGGTGACTTCTGGCAAGGCCCACCCCATCTCTAAACCTCAGTGTCGTCAACTGTAAAATGGAGTGGATGTTATTTCTATGGGAAGGATTAAATGAAATTCCAGATGGAAATGACAAAACCCTATCTCGATGTCAGTTGGCATTTTTACTCTGTTGCATGGGGCTGACACCTACTCCAGGCCAGGCCCAGGGCTGGGTGGGGGCGGGGACAGGGCTGGTTGCATGAGTCAATGGCTGCACAGAGCCCCGTGTTAGCAGGACCTCACACTCGGGTTAGTGTTCTGCTATCACCATCTTGGAACTCCTAATTTTGAACAAGGATCCCACATTTTCATTTAGCACTGAGCCCTGCATATTATGGAGCCCCACAAATTGGGTAGGGGTAGGAAGAAGCAGGGAGAGACATAGACCTGCAAATGGGTCCCAAGTGGAGGAGGTACAAGGTGGAGGGCATGACTGACTGTCCCAAGGTGGGTGGGATGTTAATAATAGTAACATTTATTGAGTGCTTACTGTGTACTAGGTTCTCTGTTAACTACTTTGCATACTCACCCTCCAACAGCCCCGTGAGGTAGGTACTATTATTTCCATTATATAGATGAGGGAAGTGAGGTTAAATTTCTTGGCCCAAGTCACACAACTATCAAGTGGCAGAACTGGGATTCAAACCCAGGTTTTTGGACAGCAGAGTACATGCCGGGACTGGGGAAGTCGTCCCTAGGAGGAGCAGCACTCCGCCCCTCCCCCCCCACCACCCCGGGCTGTGTCTTGGTAGGAGGAAGAGGTGCTGTGGAGGAGGGAGGTTGGAAGGTGTCTGTGCTGAGGCCGGAGGCTTGGCCAGGAGAGGTGGAGCCAAAGCCTGATACCTCCTGAGGCTGAGGGAATTAACCTTTGGATTTCATGGTTCTGATTTGCCGAGCTCGGAGTTTCTGGTCCCCCTGCCCCCAGGCCCTGCTGCCACCAGGATTGCCACCGCCCCCTGCCTCCCCGCAACCTCCTCTCCGCACTGCCCACTCCTCCTCCACTGCGAGGTCATCTCATTACTCTCTGGACCTGAGGGGTCCCTCCTGGGCTCAGGCCCTGCAGGTCTAACTGCTTCCTGGGCCACATTTAGCTGTCTCACCATCTGCCTAGGGTCCAAACCCAGGTCCCCAGGTCCCCAGCTCTGCCTGCTGGCACCTGCTCTGCCTCCAGCATCTCCAGCTCATCTCTGCTGCCACCATCCACCCACTTGCTCAAGCTGGAAAGCTGGAAGTTCTCCTGGACACCTCCCTCTCCCTCACCCCCACATCCCACAGCCATCCTCAGCAAGTCGTGTTAGCTCTCTGTATCTCTCTCCCCGCCCGCCGCCCCATTCCAGGCCACCGTCGGCTCCCACCTGGACCACAGGGACAGCCTCCTAGAGTCGGCTCCTTCTGTTTCTGTTCTTGCCCCACTTTGTTCTGTTATTGCCCCACCACAGCCAGAGGGATCTTC